GCTGATCATTTACTCCTTCATCTACATCTTCCTTTCTCTCTCCTGATTAATAATAAATACTATTACAGAACATGTAAGCTATATGGGTGAATTGAATCACCAGTAAACAGTCAACATTCAACAAACATCACAAATAATTCTCAGGCACACCACCTCCTTTGCAAAGTGCCATTATTACAGTGTAATTCTAAAATGCCTTATGCATCTAGAAGAAAAATACAGCAACAGACAACATAATCTCTATTTCCCCATTCTACCAGCATTACTAAATGTAAAGATGTAACGTATTGGACTCTTACACCACTGACTGGGGATTCCATCCCAACTGCACCCCATTTTGGATGCAAGATGAGCCCGGGCTCTCCCTGCACCGGCAAGCAACAAGTTAGGTGCCCGGTGTGCCCAGACTGGGAGCACCAGTCAGCTGACTAGCAGTCCCAGCTGTGAGACTGCACCGAAGCAAAGGGCTCCAACGCACTCCCAAGGGGAAGAGTGCTGTTCAGCTGATTAGGACCTCCAGCCCTGGGAGTGCATGGGAGCTCTTCAGGACTCTGGTGTGTTCTCAATGTTGGGAATACCAATTACCTAATTGGCAAGGACCACACATTCAGTTTAAACACAATGGGAACCAGCCACAAAGTTATTACACATTTTATGTAATGATTCTGGGGCTTACTTCCAGTTTTACTGCTCCATAAACCGCATAAACATGTGGCCAGGTTACTACTAAAGACATGATTAACTGGTTAATTGCATCTTAAATGTAACGTTTGCCAGAGGCCTTTCTTGCAGGATGTACAATTGGGAGCTCTTCTGGAAAACGAGGTCATAGCATCAGGATTTGCTTGCTAAAAATACTGGCTATCCCTTTATTTATATGTAGATGAAAGCAAGCATAGGGGCACATACAATAAAGCTCAAATTTCTCTAGCTGGTAAGGGTATTTATAAAATGCCCGGTAGAAATTGCCAAGTATGAATTCATACCAAACTGGGAATGGTGTTCTTCCTGGAGGACTGACTGGATTTCCTCTTCCACTTTAGGTTCACCAATCTCATGTTCTGAAGGTTATAAAATACAATAAAGAGAAGTCCTAAGGATCAAGGCTTTAAAAGACTTCAAAATATGAACCAGGGAAGGTCTGGATCATATTTTGTCATTTTGTGATGTTTCTTTATCCCTAATTAACTGGACTGTAAAAACAAAGCAAAAAAACCCCAAATAGGCTGCTTTTATAAAATAACAATATTTGCCCAGTTTTATCACAATTTAAGTGAAAAAGAACTGGGAACATTTCATTTACATTTTGTATGTCAGATTTTAACTATTCTGTATGTCTTCTCAAGGACAGTAACACTAGTAACCTTTAGTTAATTGTCTCCTAGTAGAAACAACAATAAATCTCTGCTAGTTAAATCTACTTAAAAATAAAAACTGCAACAGATCAAGAAAAAAAAAAATCTTCTTTAAAAAAGTTGCGAGATTTCAAAAATGCAATTATTTCAAATAGTAGCAATACCAGCCTAGTTTTATCTGATCTAATGATCCTTTTTTATAGAGAAATATTAGTTTTATGTCAATAAAAATTTTAGAACTTATATATTCAAATTACTTTAAAAATATCATGAGGGGAGACTAATAATTATCAACTTGCCTTTTAATTCTTTATATCAGTCATTGAGTATTACATGAAAAACTACTCATTACACTGCATTTTGAAAAAAAATGAATACACGATGTATTGTATTATATAAAGAAAAATATTCTACTTTTTAGCATTGATTCTAGGTTGCTGTTTATTAGCATGACACACATTATAAACTCATTGTAAATTGCTGTATGTATAATTTAAGATGATGCATTTCCTAAAAAGGAAAAAAAAAATATTAGTAGGCTTTGTTTGTGGATAAGACTCCCAAGCGGTATAAAAATCACACTGAGTCTTCCAATATGAATGTTACATTACTTAGAAAGCTTCTGCCAATTAAAGCTCTGAGGAAATGGAAAAAACATTTGAGTTTTGAACACAATCAGGAACACGTTTTATACATCACGTGTACAGTTCTTGCTGCAACATGGCTCTCATTTTGTAATTATATCCTCTTTGTTACCACAAAACAAAACAAAAATTGCAGCAGCAGCAACACTGATTTCAACAGTATGTATATAAAGGCAATAATTCTGAGGAAACATCCAACACAATCTACTTATAGAACTGTAGAAAAATGGGGCACAAGGGACTTCAAACACTTGCCTCATTCAAACCCTGATCATCCCGTGTTAATCATCTTGGACAAATGTTTGTCTGACTTGCACTTTAAAACTCCCAATGATAGACGCATAATAATCTCTAGATAATCAGTACCTGTGTTTAGCTATTTTTATAGTTAGAAAGGTCCCCCCCATACTACCCTAAGTCTTCCTTTTTCCAATTTAAGCTCATTACTTATTCTCTGTCTACAGCAGACAGATTAACTGATTATTATCCACTTTCCAACAGACTTGTATTATAATGTATGCATAGAAGAAAAATTATTAAAATTTGGCTTTATATTTTAAGTCGCTTTGAAAAGCTAATTGTATGTATCACTATGTTCTCTTCTAAGAGTAACAGCAATATAACTCTGAGGCAGCACCTCTTCATATTTTTAGATATTGTATCATCTTCATTTACCACTTGATGGTGTAGTCTAAACAAGTTTTCTGGACCCTCTTAAACTGTCAAATCTGCTGCAATTTTGATTAAATACTCTAGTAGATCAGCATGCTTATCAGCAATTGTATTTGCACAGAAAAATATACAGAGATAAAACTATTCACATTATAGTCAAGCCACTTCAGAGTCCCTTTAAAATGAATTTGCTAATCAATAAGAATTATCATTTGGTGGTTATAAAACAGTTAACTACAATGATTCTTCAATCATCAATAAAGAATGCCATTCATTTTTATACCAATTAGCTGTAAAATGACAGAAGCTTTTTTACCTGTAGAAGTCGTGATAATTTTACATGCATTATGCTTCATTTGCATATCTAGAAGTGAAACACCTGCTGCTTTTTGTTTTCTTGTTCACTTTATAAGACACCTTACCTGATTTAATGAATGACTGCTCTGAAGGTTGAATGGACTCCTCAGTTTCTGCTGGTGTGCGCTGTGCTGGGACATATCTTTCTTTAAGTCCTGCATTTTTCAGTTATAAAGTTAAACTTTAGCGTTTTTGTCTTGATTTATTATATATCAGTAAGAGACGATCTTGATTCAGTTATATCATCATCAAGAGTTAAAAAACGATCCAAAAGCACTATAAAAGCACCTGGAAATGTATTCAAGCAATATACTGTTCCAGGTTGTCCCAGCATATTCTAGAAGACTCACACATACAAAAAAAGTTATAAAACATTTTAAGAAAATAGAGGATTGGGAAAAATGGGTATGGATACCCAAACATCTTTTGCTGGTACAAGCATAATGAACAAAATCCAAATTCATTTATTTACATTAACTGTTTGTATAGTACCAATAAAAAAAAAAAGTATGCTAATAAAAAAAAAAAAATACGATAATTACATTTGTCTCCCATTTGAAAAATGGGTATATTTACATGGTTTTGTATGACTTGTGAATTGAAGTTGTATGGCAAAGTTTTCATATGTAGTTTGTAAGAAACATGTTTAAGCTTAAAACCTTAATATTTAATACCTCAGTAGCTTATGAACAAAACTACCAACCTAATTTTTGCCTTTAACTTCAGTAACTTCATCCTTTGGTTTTCTTCAGTTCATAAATCAGGCCCATGATTGCCAGAGAAAAGCTATGATTAATGGAGCTGTGCCACAAAGATTTTTTTATTAAGACTGGCTCTACAAATAAATAATTCCCTCTGTGTGTCACCATGATGGAAAGGACATAAGCTAAACAGATAAGAAGATCATACAATCTAGAGATGAAAAGATGACTGATTCTATCCCTCACCATCCAAAACTGCACTGCTACCTAAAACACATACTATTTATTTACTCAGTCTGATTTCACAGAAAGTACAAGTGAAAGGCTTGAACCGCTTACACTGAGCAAGAATTCCAACAGCCAAGGAGATATTATTTTCAGGATGAATATCTAAGTAAATTGGCCTACGTTTTCCTCTTTGCTTTTGTATAAAATTGATATAATCCAGAGTGAGTGCCTTCTCATGTTAAATACAAAAATACTCATAAAGGAGGATATAAGATGTCCCATATAAAATCTTTTCTGGCAGATTACTGATCATAATTAAGACATTTAAAAATAAATCTTTTATAAGGAACATTTAATATTAAAAAAAGAAGAAACAAAAAACCCAGCTTCCTACCTCAAGACAAAGTCTCAACTTCAGCTCTTCCACAAATCAAGCCTGCTTTCAGACATTAAAAAAAACCAAACAAACTTAAAACTACACATGCCCCTGTGCCAAGCCCAGCGCATGCCCAGAAGGGGCATCACATTATTTGGACCAAGCCCAGCGCATGCCCAGAAGGGGCATCAGATCATTTGGCCCCAGCTTGCCCAGCGTCTGTATGGATCAGAAACTTCAGCGGGGCTTTTTAGCATTTTTAGCTAATAGCTAACTGAATCAGCTTTAAATAAAAGCACCCAAAGGCCCTGAAGAAGTGCCTGATCTATACAGATGCTACAGAGCCAAGCTGAACTAAAGCACTGCATTGTCCAGTAAAATGTAGGGTTTTTTCCTATGTCTGTCAGCAGCCCAAGTGATTTTTCACTAAGTAGATTGATAGAACATATGTATTCTAATATGTGCCTTGGTGTGTTTTCCTTTTTAAGTATTTCAGCACACACAATACAGTATCTGCTGTAACAATGCATTGGTAAAAGCATGATAGAACAAATATTCAATTTTGAAACTGACATTAATTCACCATTTTAGTTCCACCAATATTTTTTAATCTTTTGACTCATTTGTGTTTAGTGCAAGTAGTAGCAATACAGTGAGTGTGTCTGTGTGCAAAAAAAATCTGCATATAGCCTAATTTCATAAACATTCTGAACCTTTTTAAAAGTTGTGTACAAATTCATTCATATTAATTCACAGTGATACCTCGGTTAACGAAGCAGATGTGTTCCATGATATCACTTTATCAGAAATTTCATTATCAGTGGTAGAAATAACAGAGGCATAGGGATGCATTCCAGGATTTCAGAGAGGGAGGGTACAGTAAGAAAGTATCATTAAATACTCAATTAAAGGGCCCCCACAGCCCCCCGGCCCTGTTTGCACTTTTCACTCTCCACAGCCTTGCTGGTGCCCCTCATCTCCCAGCTCTGCTGTGGGCTCGGGCAGGGCAGCATCCCGCTGCTGCAAGCGCTCCCAGGGGACAGGGGAGACCCACACTCCCCAGATCTGTGCGCGGGGCATGTGCAGGTTGCGAGCTGCCCCCTCTCCCCCCCTGCCACGGTCGTGGAGGAGGGAAGCAGGGTGGCAGGGAACAATGGGCAGAGGAGCTGCACAGAGAGGCTGCCCACCGCTGCCCCAGTGATGTGTCTCCTGCATGCAGGTCATGGCACAGGGCTGCACCTTTCAAAGCAGCAGCAGGCGCAGGGGGTGCGTTGCCAGGGCAGCAGGGGGGGGAGGGGGCAGCTCTCAGGAGCGAGATCCCCACACGGTCCCACTGTCCCCAGCTATGCTGGGTCATGTCCACGGGTTGCCAGAGGCCCCGGAGGAGGGAAGCATGGCAGGAGCCTGTGCCGCAATCTGCACCTGCCCCTACCACACGCAGAGATCTGGGGGGTGTAGGCACCCTTCACTGCCTTCCTTTCACTCCCTCCAAGCTCCCTGCAGCCTGGAACTGTGCCAGCCTGCAGAGAGCTCATTGCAAAACTGAAAAATCCATGGGTTTCTTTGGTAAAGAGAGAAAGCTGCAGGGTTTTTTTTTTCAATTTTTTTGCAAAAAACAGCTGACCTCCTTATAAAGGAGCTTTGTTCCTAGAAGATTCAATAACCAAGGTATTACTGTAATAAGGAACTCCCATTAGTGTGGTAAAAGGATCATTTGTATCTCATACTTTCCTTGCTTAAAAGATATATTAAAGAAATTTAAAAATATATTTTTAAAGAATATTAAAGATTTTTAAAGAATTGTAATCAATTATAAAAACTATTACAAAGAGGAATAATAGTAACCCACTGTAGATCTAGCATGTCTAAAGCAAGTTTATCTGCAAAAAAGGCAGACGCCCAATATTCGTAATCGTTATTCTATTTGACTCATGGAAATGAAGGTAAAGGTTACATTAAAAAAATAAATAAGAGCAATCACAGCTAACCAGGCTGTTTTATTCATTAGTGTAACATCCTAGAATCGAAGTGACAGATATTCTCAGAGTAATTTATTCAGAGGACTAGCGTCACCCACAAAGAAGGTACGCTATGATGAACAGTTTTCTGTTGCCAAGTCCCTGGTAAGTGGAATTACCTGCACTGAAACAGCATGTACATTTTATTTGAAGACTCTCAAACATTCTTTTATAGAATAACAAGCAACAGTTGGATACAGATGTATGACTTTAATGAAAGATGCTCTGAGACAATCCTGTGCGTAAAGTTACACGGTGATTTATTAATTCACATAGTGTGAAAGATGCACAAATTTATCTTACTGAAAACGACAGAAAAGCAGAATTAACACTTTTAAAGAAATGAAACTGGATGCACTACATTACTGAGAAGCGGCTTTCCAAAAGTCACATTATTACTAAGGTCCAAATGAATGCTTAACTTTATTTGTGAAAAGTTCCACTGAGGACAATGGGATTCTCCACACACTTAAAAATCTGCAAAAGGCTGAGGTTCTGGGGGAAGATGGAGCAAGGGAAAGAAGGAAAATTAATTCCTTTTCCCCAGTTCTATTTAATGTGTCCACTTTAAAAATATTCATCAATACAACTATCCAATTCACTTTCAGACATTCTTTTTTTTGCAGTGGTAATTATCAATTCTAGCAAACTTTGTTGAACTGCACACTGTTCCAAACAATGATGGGGAAAGAGAATAAAAGGAGTTCTGCTACCAAATATGTACTTTCACATGTAATGGATTACAGTAAAACAGGGGTTTTCAACCTCTTTGGATCACTATAACCCCGGTGGCCAGATGTGGAGCAGTTTACCCCCAGTGGTCGGACACAGAACTGGGCAGGGGGAAGAGGGTGGCGCACAGTTGAATGCAGAGCAGCGGCAAACACTAGGTGCAAGCTT